TATATATATTAATATGTCCAGTAGCTGAAAAACAAAAGAAACACAAATTATACATTTAGCTTGTTGCAAAAAATAACATTCTGCATGTGGTTGTGAGTTTGAATGTTTTTTTTTTTTTTTACCAAATAGTATCATGAATCACTACTTATTTTAAAGAAACTAGAAAGTAAACAATGGATGTGCATTTACAGATGATTAAGCCAACAGACCTTAGTAAACACAAAACTGTCCGTAACTCGGTCCATAACGGTGCACGACTGCTCTTCTTCTGAATAAATGAAAACTATGTAACACAGTTGTTTACACTTAAATTAAAAGCATTTGACCAAAGAAAAACCGGAACAGGACTTTTACAGAATGAAATGTCTGAGTGCTCATCCAAGACTGGTGATTCCATACTTTTTGCCAGGAGTTGTATTTCAGAAGTGCTCATTTTTTTATCCTTTAATTTCCTTTTGCTAGCATAGAATAGATGCAGTAATGTTCATATTTTAAACATGATTTAGTCACTTTGTGTTTTTACATGAACAAGTCCAAATATTAAGTAATGAATGAGTTTAAAAATATCTAAACTGTGGTCATTTTTCATCCTGCAGATATGCCATTGTGCTTTTCACTTCTTTGGAAATGAAAAACGATCTAGTGGATTCCACAAGATCAATCCTCTCAATAACAACTTACTTTTCAGTTGAGCTTTTGCCACAAAACTCAGGTACAATTTCTTAAATCAAAGTGTGATTAGATTGACTTTTGAAATGTGTCACTTATTTAATGCTAAGAAACAGACCTTAAAGTTTGTTTCTTTTTAAACATAGGTATCAATGTCATTGCTATTGGAGCAGCACTGGGGATTTTGGGGATTCTCTTGGTTATCCTCATAGGCGCCATCATCTACTGGAGAAGGTTGATTATTATTACAAGTAGTATTTACTACTAAGACATCATTTGTGCACAGATTTAAAACTCAGTTTTTATGTGCTGCAGGTTATCCAATAAGGAGCCATCAGAGATCCAGACTCCATCCATGAGGATGAGGTTTTATCTTTTGTTCTTGTTTAAATTCATCATTCTTGGCAGCAGTATTTTTTCTAATTCTTTTTTTATTTATTTCTGCTTTGCTTTTTAGAGCCAAAGTGTAAGTATTAGACCTATAAATTGTAAATATTACTGTTGTGCTAATTAATAAGGTGTTCCAGACAAAACCTGTTATTCTTGTCTGACCTGCGTTTGAGCAGAAGTTTGGCTGTGAGGGTGGAGGATTTCGAAACCCACTACAAGAAACAGAAAGCAGACTCCAGCTGCGGCTTTGCTGAAGAATATGAGGTGAAACATGAACTTTGTTATTGTTGATTCATAATTTATAAATTCAGTTGTTCATATTAATCAAATATTTCCTAGCAGTGGTGGGTACGGTTCTGCTTATCCGTTAACGTGCTAACAGAGGAACTGATATTTTGCTGARCGGCTTAACATTTGCATGAATTTTATAGTGTATTAACTAACTTTACTCATGCTATATTTTTGGTAATTTCTTTAATGTATGGCATATGTGATGACATCATCACATTATGTGGGTGGAACCATATGTTTTGTCAACCAGAATTCCCCCCCCCCCTCCTTTCCTCCTGAGTTTCTGTACTCCACCACTCTGCTGTTTGTTCGTGAAAAAGCGAAGCAGGAACGATTTAAGGATAAAAAGATAAAGATTATTTGAGG